AACTTTATTTGGTGAAATACATTGACCAAGCCCGGATTCTATTTCATAAATTATTACGCAGATCAAGCTGCAAGCATGGAGGTAAAAAAGAACAGAGGTGTGAATTCGACATTCAACACCAATCACCAAACAATTCAGAAACTTTTAGCCTTCGAAAATGAAAACAGTTAGCAGTGTGTAAGGGCTGTGTAATTTCCTGTTTGTCCGACGCTTCGTTTTCGTGTCACTGTCAAAATTATTGCTACCTTTTACTTAACAGGAACTAAATGGTCTCTATAAAACGATAACCAGGATCGCAAAAAAAGTCAACTGATTTGAAACACTTGCCGGACGTCTCTCTCTCTTCTGAAATCCGCCTCGGTGATCATGGGCTGGTCCGGAATCTATTTCTTTCAAAAGTGTTGCGCAAGGTTTACGTTGTCGGCGTTTCTCTTTAAACCTAGTTTGTTTGTTTTTTATGAACAAGGACAGTTTTTCCCAAAAAAATGAATCACTGCAACTGCCCACAACACAACATCTAAAAACTCTCTCTCAAAAAAAAAAAAAAATAGACAAAAAAAAAGAAAAAACGCCGACCGAAAAATGTATATCGTTTAAAAGTATACTGAACGACCAGTGTTATTACGGCTCAGGGGTATGACTTCCCCTCACATTTTGTCATTTGGTGGCGCACTTTCGGCGAGAGTCGGAAATCCGGAAACAGTGGGCGTGGCTACAACACGAGAAATATCCCAAATTTACCTGGATACGAGTAATCATTTTCAGCAAAAAAATCAATAACTACCCTTTTCAGTGGGACACAGATCTAAAATGGGAAACGTGAGGGTGGGCATTGCACAGGCACTTTAAGGTGTTGTAGATTTTCATTCAAAAACAATGCATGTATGAGCTTGCTGAGGTAATTAAGAAAGTCAAGTGCAAAAGTGGCTTAATGGTAGCCACAGTATTATAAAATATATATCCATACATGCTTTGACATGCAGGTATAAAAGGTTTGTTTTCATGATTTATTTGTTAGAGAAATGTCAAATTTTTGTTGCGGCATTTTCACTCAAAAGCAAATTTTTTTATACATTCCCGCATTGTTTTTGTTAACAGAATGGCAAATATTTGTGGCCTTTTCACTGATAAGTAAATTCGACAGACAATTTGAATATTCTACACACTCCCACATGTGCAGACAAAATGTATTTTTGCTTGTTGTTACTGAATTCATTTCCGGGGAGTTAGTATAAGCAGGTCAAAGTTCATGCTACCTTACCTGTTCTTTGAGTGTGATGGGTGCAGCCTTAGAAGACGGCTTAGAATCAGAAGGGGAGTCACTAGATTTCTGCATGAGGCAACGTAAATGAACAAGGGAAGGGGATGTAGAAAAAATAAATAACAAAATTAAAGACACGAGTGGCACAGAAACGAAGTGAAAAGAAATAGAAAATAGATATTGAATTGAACATTTACAATATCATATTTGCTCTATTACAATTGCATTTTCAATAGAATTGCATGATGTATAATATACTAAATCACACACCTGTCATTTTCATATTTTTGTGTATGTGCTACTAATAGAGTAAATACAGTCATTGTTAGCCTAGAATTCATGTGCCTTCATAGCTGTGCAAAATCTTTCATACAATGCCTAGCAACAATGATCAATGAACGCAATCACTGCCAGCTATTGGTAGATTGAAAAATGACAATCTTTTTATGCCATAAGTTTTTTTTATATACTGGTGTGTGCCGATAGAATCTATTTACAATTCTCTTCGTACACAAGAGTACAGGCATAAATTTAGCCAGAAAAAAGTTCTCCAGATCACTGCTGAATTGTTTTCACTAAATTTAACCCCCAAAAATAAATTTGACCAAAACTTTGACCTAAACATTTTTTTTTTCATCCACCAGTACTAATTTACAGTTGTGGACACATCACAACCAGACTGAACAAGGAAAGGTCTGCCCTCAGTAGGCTTTCTCCATCGTAAAGTCCAAGCAGTACAGTCTGAGGACAAAACTGAGGCTCAATGGAAGCATTGAGAAGTCAGTACTCCTGTATTACTGTGAATGTTGGAGTGGTAAAAAAGACATGAACAAAATCAACACCTTCCACAATAGATGTCTTTGTATGATCAGTTGCATCTACTGGCCTCATACATATCTAATGAGGAATTACACTGGAAGACAAACTCCCAGAGCATGTCACTTGAGATTAAAGCTTGCAGACTGAGATGGTTGGGACATGTACGGTACTCAGAATGGCAGGTGACAGAAAAACCAACGGTTGCCCTTAGATGGACACCACCAGGAAAGAGAAACCATGGAAACCAAAGACAACCTGGCATAGGACTGTCATAACTCAACTGATGATGATGAGATGGGTCACCCATAGGGTGAAGCGCAGTCCCAAGGACAGAATACAGTGGCAAGGTTTTATTGCAACTTTATGTCCCATTGGGATGCAGAGTATAGAAGTGAAGTGAAATTACAGTAATGCATATTAAACCCAATAAAGAGAATTAAATGGACAATATGGGGCCTACACATCAATAACAAAATAAACAGCTTTTTCCTTTAGGATGTTCTTCTTCCGTTAAGCATTGACCGCTGATACCAGTTTATATCAAGTGAATAAATTTGCATTTCTGATAACAGGGTCCATAGCACCAAGAGCCAAATTATTTCCAAGACTTTTCCAGACCTTTTCCCAAACATTCTTGCATTTTTCCAAGACATTTTGACACTTAATTCAGGCCAACATCATCACCAAAGCTCCTCAAAGTTCGGAGGATATGATAATTCCCTGGGGAAAATGAGCCTTTCTAAAACGAATTAATAACTATGAAGTAATTTAAAGACTTTTCAAAGATTTTTTTTATTTTTCCTGTAATTTAAAGAACACTCAGAGACTTTCCACACCTCAAAAAATGCAAAGACTTTCAAAGAATTTTCCTAACGCTATGAGCCCTGGATAATTGTGAGAAAAGTCTTGCAGAACTATGGAATCACACATACTCTAAAGCTAATTGATTGTCAGTACTCATCAAGGCAGTAAGGCCATGGTAACTTACTTGTAAAGCGACTGTAGGTTGCACCTTGGCAGCATGTTTCTCAGGAATTGGTAAGTTTGACTTTTCTCCTGTCAGCAATTCCATTTCCGCAACTCTTTTACGAAGTGTAACATTCTCTGCCTCAACTTCTTGCAACTACACAGGAAAGTAAAGCAACATAGTGATGTAAGGAAAGAGTCTGGTGAATCAGTTCACTCTGAATGAACCCATCCATCCAGATGAACCAGGATTTGTAGTCTGGCCTCAGATTTATCCAGATTTGAAGATTACACATGAAGTTAAGCCGAGTTGTGTCATGTGCAAATCTTAAACCTACTACAACATTTTGCCAATATTTAATTAATTTTAAATAAATTTTCTAAAAAATTTTGGATCAAATGGACATGGGTTACGAGGCTTTGTCAAAATTTTGGAAAATATATGATTGAAAATTATCAAATAAATATGGTTTTAATTTCTGAAAGGTCACAACAGTTGGTACTTAGAGGATTAATCAATTAACCAATTTTACTCACTATAATGTTATTTTATTTTTTTATTACAGTTCTATAGATATACTATGCCATACATAGACATTTGAGTTGCAGTAACCTTTCACCTGTCGAGAAAATAAGGAAGTTTGTTGTGAGATTAGAAAGGGGGGAGGGGGGTCCCTCATACCTGACTATCATTACTCCATCAATTCTATAAAGCTTTCTACACTACAGTACTGTTAATACAGACACAATCAATTAATATTATTATTTAGAAGAGATCAATAATATATAATATGGCTATCATTGTAGGAACCACATTCAGATAGAAAACTGACTTGAACAGCACCCTCTAGTGTCAGCCTAGGTTTTTACCTTCTTTTGCAGCATTATAAATTGTTTCTTCATTTCCATATCTCTGCCTGATGTATCTAAGAACTGTCTATAGGCAAGGTCAAATGCCTGTCCCACTGTATAAGTGATCTCTTCTGCCTGTTAGACAAACACAGATAAATTTATAGAAAAAAATAATTCCCCTTCTCTCGTGCCACATTTTTTGTGGTAAAAATGTTCATACATCATTTTGTCAACCCTTTCAACCTTAGGCATAGCCACAAAATAGTTCTGTTCAATGTCTGCACTTTTCATTTTTGTGAAATGTTGCGAAAATTTCAAAATTTTTGATCAAAAACTAGAAGCAGTGTCAAAGTTTGTCTGTTTGGTCCAAAATTTGTATTTAATTCAGTGAAAAGTTACTCAAATTTAAGTGAGAACTTTTTTTTGAGCTACAAATTTTGATTAGAATTTTCAAAAAATTAAGTGAACATTTGTTTTTTGTAAAGATTCCACAAACATTGTTGACTTGTCAGCATTTACAATATTCATTTCTATGACAATTTTGTCAAAACTGGAATGATGTTAAATTTTGTCTGGCTTGGATAATTTATGCACAAATTTAACATGTACGATGAATTGACCTTAAAAACGAAACACATTCATCACAGTCACTTCTGATCAGTGTTCAGTTGAGACAGATTCCACTGTACATTAATTTATCTACTCTGTGCCTACACGATTACTTACGCATTTATCACTGTCGAACACGTAACATATATGCTGATTATTACTTTCTTTTGCAATAAAAGCACATATTTTCTTATCAGTCTTGTCGTCTGCACAGTATGATATACGATGTAATGGATAGCTGTGGAGCTTCTCCTGAAATTAAAACATAGTTAAACTATTTAAACCTTGCCAAATACTTCTAAGAATGCTATCATCTTTGCTGCCAGACATTGAAGCAACATTATGCACCTACATACCAAGTATCAAAGCAATTAAGTTGCTAGTTTTTCAAGAAAAACTTTTTCACCAAAAATTACAAAATTTGGTGATATCAGCATGAAAAAAATAACTTAACACAGGTCCACCCAAGGTACCTACATACCAAGTATCAAATCTATTGAGCTGGTAGTTTTCAAGAAGTTGAAAATAACATTTTTTACAAAAAATGACAACAATATTCGGCAAAAATAGAGAATTGAAGATACTGTCATGGAAGGAACAAATGTGACGCAGGTGCACATAAGGTACCTACATACCAAGTATCAAAGCAATTGAGCTGGTAGTTTTCGAGAAGAAAACAAAAAAAATTTTTTTTACCATAAATGAAAATAATTATCTGAAAAATGACAACATTATTCAGCAAAAATAGAGAATTAAAGACATCGACACGAAATGAACAAATCTGACAGAGGTCCACTAAAAGTATCAATATACCAAGTATCAAAGCACTTGAGCTAGTAGTTTTCGAGAAGAGTGGATGCTGTCATTTTGACTTCTGAGTTTTCCTTTCATGGTTGCCAAGCTGTAATAAAAATATGTTCTTACCTTTGATTTTGGGTCTTGTAGCGTGAGCCCTTCGCGGGATATTGTCAGTTCAGTTTTACGTGGTTTGGATCCTTCAGCTTTCTTGATATGACGTGAAAACTGACGAGAAAAAAGAATTTATAATGAAACAACCGCTGTAATCAGCGGTTATTGCAAACAAACTGACAAGCTTACATGATTGAAGAGTGTGCATTCAATCAGCTTATACATACAAAGTAGCAATATGCCTAGTAACTAGATTAATGATAAATTGTATTTACTACATGACAATGGCAAATATCATACACAGTTGTTAGGTTAAGTGTGAAATATCATATCAAAAATCTTGAGTCTGCATAAAAATTTAAAAGCATAATATTTTGCCGATCATTGAAAACTAAAACTGTAACTACGTGACATTCGTATGCTGTGTTATCAGTATGTGATTTGTAAACAGTGTCTTTTTGATAATCTGTATTAGAAGCTACATCCCTAATAGAAGTCGCACCTATTCTTTTTAAACAATTGAGAACCCAAAATTCATCGTTTCTCATATGTGTAGATGCTCTAATAGAAAGCTGTATCCCCTCTGTTGCATTGTACCATTTTAATAAAAGTCGCAGCTTCTAATACAGATTTTACAGTAGTGGTTGTGTGATGAAAAAATTATCACACAATGTTCATTATCGTCAGATCTGATTGATAGAAGCGATATCATGAATATAAATTTTTCGGCTTTCGTAGAGAGTTTCAGCTGGCATTATGTTCTTCAAACCAAAGGCAATCAAAAATAATTACTTATTTATTATTTAATCTCAAGTGAGAATGAATGTAATAAAGTTATATACTCAAAACAATCACAGACAAATAACAAATTCTAACTGAAAATAAATTTGAGAAGTAACTCTCGAGCTTCTCCGGACAATAAAAAAAGATTCTACATCATATATGAAATTTTCAAGAAAATGATGACATAAAACTTTAACCAACATCCTCCCTGATGTCACATTGGGATAAAAGCTATGATGTAGTCATCTTGTTAAGTCTTGCGATTGTCACATACCTTCAGTTTTCTGATCGCTTCTTTGACCACATCGGCTCCTTTAGGATGATCCACTTCAGTATGACCCAATAACTAGACAGAATTAAAACAAAGAAATTTACCTTCTCAGTGTTATAAGACTTCAAGGGAATTTCGCAACAATACCCTTCACAACTGAGTGAATTTAGATTTAGAATTGCTTAGAGATCCCAATATTTGTAAATTAACAATTTTGAGTCTACAATGTTCATATTTTGATTATCCCTGGATTCAAAATGGCCGCTGGTGTGAAATATGAACAAACAAATCAATATATTTGTGACCTAAAAAACATTCAGCTCCACCACACTCCTATTTATTCAGATAAAACATTATTATGCAAGAATATTAAACAAGCAGCCTGTCGCCCGAGATAGCTCTGCTGTTAGCAATGCACATTACAATTAAAGAACTGAAGATATTATTAGAAAATGAACAATATGTATAGTATCAAAGCAAGCAGACTTGCTGTTTTCAACAAGAATTCGAAAATATCACTTTTCACTAAAAATGACAAAAAATATTCATTAAAATTAGAAAGTTGAAGACATCATCATGAAATGAACAAAATTACAAAAATATTCACCAAAATAAGAATTAACGATATCATCATGAAATGAACAAATTTGAGAGTGGTCCACATGTAGTACCTATATATGTAATATCAAAGCAATCGGACTTGCAATCGGAGAGAGGTCTACCCAAGGTACATACATGTATACACCAAGTATCAAAGCATTCAGACTTGTAGTTTTCAAGAAGTTGAAAAAGTAAAACATTCACACGGACGACGGGGGACAATCACTCATATGATAAGCTCCGCTTGACAAAGTCGACAGCGGAGCTAAAAAAGACAGAAACAAACTACTTTTAAGGTAGTGGGACTATTATTTGCATACTTGTTTTCATCTTCTAATTGTGACTAAATGACTACAAATAGACCCGGGAAAGTATATATTTTTAGAATCGCCAGACTTCAAGCTTTTCACAAGTGTATTTTGCATGCCCGTATCTGCATTCTACGACGCGTTACTCAACCAAAGGTGAAAAATTACTTTTCCTGTAAAAAAAATAATTACGCATTTATGCTGGCGATAAGAAGTATTTTTGTCACTTTTCCTAGTTGTTCAATAGTCTGGTAAATTGAATGTGTCTGGTCAGTTTTATTCAAGCAACGCGTTTTAAAAAATAGTGTGCTGAATTTCAATTACTGTTTTAATCGCATTGCCCCCAACTCAAACCACAACTCGTTGGTAAATAATCGATGAAATAGTTTGTCTGGACACATTCAAGTTCCTCTCATTGTAACCTTAAGAGCTGTGAAAATTTGGTGTTAATCCGACGACAATAAGTATACGTTATTTTTTGTTGAAGACCTTGTATTTTGAAAAACATAAACTCCTAGAAAACGTCCATGAAGTAACAGCAAAGATTTTCAAGCTTGTTTATCGGCACAATCAATTTGTTTTCCCATCAAGGTCTGTTTTACCATGTGTAGGGACATCCAAATGTGTAAGGCTATTGGAAACCAAAAAAATAAAGGAATGGGATAGCTATAATTGGATAAATTCGGCATATGAAAACACCAAAATCAATGATTTTTTTCAGTGGCTGTGTGACCTTGTGTCTGACACATTCATATGCAAATGACTAATCTGTGAAACAAACAGGGGCGGAGACAAACCACTCAAATGTTTGGAAACACTCATTGTGTGTCAGATAGCTACTGATAACACATCCTAACATTGCTTTGTCTTGAGTTTATCTTTGAAACTTATAGGCACACAGATTAAACCTGTGTTGTTGATTTTGGAAAACACTACTGAGGCTGCCTTGCTTCCCTTCAGAAAATCTACATTGTAACCAACTTACATGACATTCTAAGTTATATTGACTTTAACATATGAAAGTTTATGGTGCATTTCATCAATTAATAAATAAATGTGAAAATCGTAATTTTCAACACAAATAATAGTCTCGCTACCTTAAGATAAAGTATTCAAACTAATTAGGAAACCAGGTTTGAATCTCATCAACTAGTAGATCAGTTGGTGAACAGCTTTTTTATTCTTATTTACTGTGTTTTGTTTTTTCCAAACTTCTGAAATCCACATCACTCCACATTTTTCATATTTACCTTTAGTGACAAATTGTTGTGGAATTCATGAGTCAGAGAATTTTTTTGTGATAATGAACATTTCATTGAGATCATGAAGACAAAGAGGCATCATGGTGATTAGCATGAAATGTTGTTGGGGAAAACACACTTGAAGGATAGTGATGGCATTGGTCCATATTGACAAAGACTTAGATTATTGCGCAGATCAAAAAAGGAGACACTACCAAGGTAGGAAATTCCAAAGATAATTTGAATGCACCAATTAACTTCAGTCAGTGCCGGGGGTATTTAGTGCACATCAGAAACAGATCAAAGCTTGCTATCATGCTAAGAACGCATTAGATTGCAGGAAAATCACTGTTTACCAAGTTGAAATCTCGTACACACTTGGCATGATGATCACCAGCCTTTAAACCATCAAATAATGAAAACTCAATGGTTTTTCTTCAGGTAAGAATTGAGATTGAACTCTGTACATTATTTATGCAATATTCTTATGGGTATAGGAGCTACATGCACTGACTCAGACATGTGACAAGTGCAGAAATGAAAACAATCTAAGGTGCACCTGTGAAAATTGTAAGCAAGTAAAAACATGGAAATAACAAACGCACCTTGTTCTAACAAGTTCTTTGCATCTGATCTGGGAATTTTTAAAAATGTGTTTCCAAAACACACCCATGTTTTGTCAGCTATGAAGAGAGATAAATTAGTAATTAATCAGTTGCAGTGATCATTTTTTTTATCATCTGCTTAGGTTACACTCATTGGAGGAGTAATTGTTTCTTCATCTGTTGTTTCTCAATGACATCATATTCCTAAGCAAGAGTGGAGCCAACATCAACATATTGCTGTGTTAGATTATAAATGTGTTTACAACCCTTTTTACTTCAACTGCCTCTGCCTGTTTTCTCTGCTTCACTACTTTGCGGTAGCCCCAGCTGCCCCTGTCTGTTTTCTACCTTGCAGTAGAAAAGTGAGGTAACAAGGTGAGGACAGCTGAGGTTAACCTCTTAAAGTCAAATGAAAATTCAAAGCAAGCGACAGATGAACGAACTTCACAAATGTTGGAGAATGCAATTTTTATATCATTTTCAATCTCTCTAGATAATCAAATTTTCATCAGTATTATGTAGTCCGCCATCTTGATTTTCCAGCAAAGGATTGTGGGTAAAGTGTGACATCTGAGAATATAATGTTGTTAGCTTTATCTTATCTTTTAAACTCTATGATTACATGACGAGACACTGCTAGATGTTGAAATGTCACTAGAATTGTTCTAAAATTTACTGCACTTTTTAAAAATTTTGCAACAATCTGGTGACCATCAAATGTGTGATTTAGTCATAGGTAAACCAAAACATTCCAGAGCAATATTTATCCAATTATTCTGCATGCATACTTATTTCACTATATTACAAAGCATCAGTGATGAAACTACAAGTACCAGTACTTTCTTGCAACATTATACCGGTAAATTACTGATCTTTTCTGTTATATTGAGTTAAGTGTCAGCAAGTAACATCTTCAGTGGGATGTAGAAAATGTTTCATAGGTGAAAAAAAACAAGCAGCCTATCGGCTGAGATAGCTCCGCTGTTAGCAATGCACATTTCAATTAAAGAACTGAAGACATCATTAGAAAATGAACAATATGAATAGTATCAAAGCAATCAGACTTACAGTTTTTAACAAGAAGTCGAAAATATCACTTTTTACCAAAAATTACAAAAATATTCACCAAAATAAATTAATTAGAGAATTGAAGATATCATCACAAAACGAACACATCTGAGAGAGGTCCACATGTAGTACCTATATATGTAATATCAAAGCAATCGGACTTACAGTTTTCAACAAGAAGTCGAAAATATCACTTTTTACCAAAAATGACAAAAAATATTCACCAAAATTAGAGAATTGAAGATATCATCACAAAATGAACAAATCTGAGAGAGGTCCACATGTAGTACCTATATATGTAATATCAAAGCAATCGGACTTGCGGTTTTTAACAAGAAGTCAAAAATATCACTTTTTACCAAAAATGACAAAAATATTCACCAAAATTAGAGAATTGAAGATATCATCACGAAATAAACAAATCTGAGAGAGGTCCACATGTAGTACATATATATGTAGTATCAAAGCAATTGGACTTGCGGTTTTTAACAAGAAGTCGAAAATATCAGTTTTTACCAAAAATGACAAAAATATTCACCAAAATTAGAGAATTAAAGATATCATTAC